AAGAAGAATGAATAAGATAAGGTGCTTACTGAGTGCCTTCTGTCATCTTCCTTCAGTGACTGTCACCAGCCTTTTGCAACAGCTAATGAACCTACCTCAATGTGCAGCCACACCAGCAGCCTCCAATCTTCACCTCACTGCTGTGCTCCAGAACAGGTTTGGCCTGTCACTGCTCCTTGTCCTCCTGAGCCCTGGGGAAGACCTACAGAGTTCAGACCCCACTACAGAATCAATGCAAAATCATCAGTGGACGGAAATGATGTTCATGGCAACCTGAGAACTTCTAGGGATTCCCCAAGCAGCCCTGGCCAAGCCAATCTCTATACCTACAAACCTAGTGTCCCTCTTTTCTCGCTCTGTTGACTGGGAGACACTGAACTGGCTGGAGACAAAAGTGCAGCTAGCTCAGGGGATACGAGAAAAGATCTCCAAATGTGTCCTGTACCTCCTTCTGGCTGCCCCCTGCACTGCTGCCATCACCAATGGAGTGTTGTGTGTGTTTTTTTTTTTTTTTTAATAACTTCCCAATGGAGTGTTTTTAATGAGGGAGGGAAGGGAGCTTATTCCCTAAAGCCAAGTCTTGTGGGATCAATTCCTGTTTATAGGGGTTGTTTCTAAATGTCAGATGTTTCCCCACTGCTCTATGAAATTTGGCCGGGTGGGTTGGGTGCGGTGGCTCACGCCTGTAATGCCAGCACTTTGGGAGGCTGAGGCAAGCAGATCACGAGGTCAGGAGATCAAGACCGACCCGGCAAACATGAAGAAATCTTGTCTTTACTAAAAATACAAAAATTAGCAGGGCGTGGTGGCAGGAGCCTGTAGTCCCAGCTACTTGAGAGGCTAACACAGAAGAATCACTTAAACCTGGGAGGCGGAGGTTGCAGTGAGCTGAGATTGTGCCGCTGCCCTCCAGCCTGGGCAACTGAGTGAGACTCCACCTCAAAAATAAATAAATAAATAAATAAAAGCTGAATGTGGTGGTGTGTACCTGTAGTCCTAACTACTTGGGAGGCTGAGGCAGGAGGATCATTTGGACCCAGGAGTTCAAGGTTGCAGTGGGCTATGATCACACCACTGCACTCCAGCCTAGGTGACAGAACAAGACACTGTAGCTAAATAACTACATTTGAAACGTGAGCTTGGTTCTATGAAAATAACTTTTTATGTCAGATTCCATATTTGAAACAGCTACACACAATTCCTGATAACTTTTTAGCAGGAGAAATAGGCTTTGTAATAGCTGTATCTTCCGAAATTCTCGATGGCTACTAATAGTGAGACCCTTTATTCACAGCTGCAGGTGATATAAAATTTGAACTTTTTTTTTTTTTGTTGAGACAGCATCATTCTATCGCCCAGGCAGGAGTGCAGTGGCTTGATCACAGGTCACTGTAGCCTCCACCTCCCCGGGCTCAGGTGACCTTCCCACCTCAGCCTCCCAAGTAGCTGGAACCACAGGCAGACACCACCACACTTGGCAATTTTTTTTGTATTTTTTGTAGAGATGAAGTCTTGCTATGCTGCCCGGACTGGTATTGAACTCCTAGGCTCAAGTGATCTGCCCTTGATCTCTTTTTTTTTTTTTTGAGACAGAGTCTCGCTCTGTCACCCAGGCTGGAGTGCAGTGGTATGATCTCGGCTCACCGAAACCTCCACCTCCCTGGTTCAAATGATTCTCCTGCCTCAGCCTCCCGAGTAGCTGGGACTACAGGCACATGCCACCACACCCAGCTAATTTTTGTATTTTTAGTAGAGACGGGGTTTCACCATGTTAGCCAGGATGGTCTCGATCTCCTGGCCTGGTGATCTGTCTACCTTGGTCTCACAAAGTGCTGTGATTATAGGCATGAGCCATGGAGCCCGGCCAGTTCTTTTTTTTTCCCCCACTATAGGGTCTCTGTCTGTGGCCCAGGCTACAGTGCAGTGGCTCAATCATAGCTCACTATAACCTCAAACTCCTAAGCTCAAGCAATCCTTCCCCCTCAGCCTCCCAAGTAGCTGGGACTACACAAGTGTGCCACTGTGCTCAGCTATTTCAATTTATTTACTTATTTATTGAATGCCAGGTAGGGTGACTCATTTCTGTAATCCCAGCACTTTGGGAAGCCAAGGCGGCTGGATCACTTGAGGTCAGGAGTTAGAGACCAGCCTGGCCAACATGGTACAACACTGCTTTACTAAAAATAAAAAATTAGGTGGGCGTGGACTACCACTCATGCCTATAGTTCCAGCTATTTGAGAGGCTGAGGCAGGAGAATTGCTTGAACCTGGGAGGCAGAGGCTGCAGTAAACTGAGATGACACCACTGCACTCCAGCCTGGGTGACTGAGACTCCATCACAGAAGTTAAAGAATAGCTGGGCATGGTGGCTCACACCTGTAATCCCAGCACTTTGGGAGGCTGAGGCGGATGGATCACCTGAGGTCAGAAGTTTGAGACCAGCCTGGTCAACATGGTGAAACTCTCTCTCTACTAAAAATACAAAAAAA